CACACACACACACACACCCTAATGGAAATGTATTTCTAATGCAGAGGCGGTTTCTGTTGGATGCCTTAATCTCTGCAGCCTGTATCTTCTCATTTTTCTGTGTCATAATCTAGAGCACATTTCTTTTCACAAGGACCCCCCCAACCCCTGCCCCCCCCTCGCTCCCCGAGGAGCTCTCTGACAATTATTATTATTCCCATTTAAAAGTAAAGCAGTGAGTGGGATCGTGTGAACATGTAGAGGCTGAAACCTGGAGCGTTTCTGTCCAACATTTCATTTAAAACACTGGTTGGTATCAAAGAGCCCCATGGTTCTCCGTTTACTTAAAGACCCCTCCAGACATGAATTACAAATAGTCTACTTGGAACAGTAATAAATACAGAAAACAACCAACATAATTTCTGCATTAAAATCCCTAAAAAATCATCTTCACATTTTGCACATACACTAGTTTTAATGGAATTACACTGAATCTAAATTGTTATTAACTTAAATAGTTTAAGGCAGAGATGAACTAAATGGATCCGTTATTGTCGATAAAATGAGTTTGGAATAAAAGACTAAAGGAAGCAGCTGCTAAGGGCCACCAGGGGCCTGCAGATGTGCAAGTACCTTAATAAGTCGCTGTAGCTTAAAGTGGGAAATGTTCACTTCTGCTGATGCACAAAAAAATTACAATTTCCACATTAAAATCCTTAAAAAGTCACCTACTCCTTCTGCCTCATTAAAAATCTATAATCTATGAAATATACTAATTCTGTTCACTGTAAAGTCTCAGTGTCTGTGCACTGGTGGGTCTCACTGGAGAAGCTGCACACTGGATCAAACCAATAGAAGATAAAATGAACCTGTATTGATCCCCCATAGAGGACACAGCAGCACAAGGTGATGTAAGACAAAAATAAACTGAATAAAGTAGTATAAAAATACAGTTAAAAATAGGAAATAACATACAATATCTACAGAATATAATCAGCCTGTGTGTATGTAACTATGTTTAATCAATAATCTTTCTTATTGTATGTGAAAACCTTCTTGGCAACAAACCTGATCCTGGAAACATTTCACCTTATTTTTTCATGTGCATTGAAACAGGGCTGGAAAATGGCAGAAAATAAGACTTTTATAACTCAAACAGACTAAAATGATATGATTTACTACATCAGAGCATAAATGCATCATATTTTTCAGAAGAATGTGAATCTGTGACTACAGACACCAAATAAATGTACAACACTTCCTTTTCAAATGTAATTGCAGTATTTGGTTTCATTCCACCTGTGGACATAATTCAGCCTTTTTTATTCTAATATCTTTAGAATTTGGTCCAATCTGAGCGGAGATCTGCTCGTCCGCACTTCAAACGTTGACCTTGAAGGTTGAGCGGGGACAGACGGGGGACGGTGGTCGCTCTCCCTCTCTCAGCTTCTACCTCCCAACTAATTAAAAAAGCTGCTTTTACGGCCTCGCCTTCAGACGGCCAGATGTGACCGGAGTGCTGTAAAATCTCAAAAGCGCTTTACAGAAACACTTACTGCACTTTAAAAAAACTACGATGAGAGTCCCAGAGTGCCCCC